TAATAGATTAAGGATTATTAAGATTTAGAGTTTAAACAGTATTTTAATTTACGTGATACATTTGATCTGCTTTTTTTAGACGTAATCTTGCTAATACCAAAGTGATCTTTCCTGTAAAATATTAATGTTATAAGTTGTAAATCATCATTACAGAAACTTCTATAGCAACTTCTTACCTTATACGGTGTACAGATATGGCAATGGTAAAAATAAATAAAGCAAATATACTTTCAATAATAAAAGTAATGCGAATAAAACTGGAATAACTCTCGTGAAAACATATGGAAATTCTTTGAATCATTGTTATCTTTAACATAACATTTAATAATATTGAAATAGTTGTATATGAAATCGTTCTTGCACAAGCCTGTATAAAATTGTATAAAATAAGTAATAATTAATTTAAAACTACATTCAAAATAATGTACGAATATGATTCAAATAGATTACCGTTATAAATAATGAAATTAAATAAAGAGTTAAGAACAATACATATGACATTGTGGCAAAGGGATATTCGATTCGTTCTTGTATAATACCATATATATACCACACACATGTTTCAATTAAATGTAAAAATAATACGATGATAAATATCCTTTCTGTAAGATGAATTGAATAAAAGTATTTCCAAATTATAGCCAAAGTCGACATTTTTTTTGAGCCTTGAACGAACCAGAGCAAAATATGATTTTAGTAATTGTTTCTTTACTAATACTGTAACAAGATGTTTAATGTATTTAGAAAGTAGTACCGAATTTTAGTATCGATCTGTACTACGTATTGTAATCACTAAAAGTACTTACGTACGTACGTACAATATTCACTTTTAAGTTAACAAAAGATTAATTGTTACTAATTAATACAACAAACTAGCAGTTTCATTTATCATTCAAGCTAGTACGATACATAAATTACTTTTTTATCGTATTTGCGCCAAATAACGTCCTAAAACATTATTTTAAGACAATTTAAAGAAAGCTAAAAATTAGACAAAATAAAACATTGGTCGCATTCGGCTAATTGTGTCTCGAAATAATGCTCGAAATAATGCCTCTGGTAGGTTTATACAATTTAAATGGTATCGGTATGTGTAATGGCGCATAAGGACCAAATGAAATACTTTTGGCAAGAATTAAACCCATGGCTGTTAGTGTCTTTCTTGAAGTTGAAGTCGCTCTGGTCAAAATCAGCCCCTGAAATTAGATCTTCTGCATGCATTATAACTTAAAGTACGACATTAACATTTCCAATCGCCTTCTTTTAGTACAATGTTGTTTATTTATGTGGCTAAGTCAATCAATGAAATAAGGTTAAAATTAAGGAATTTGTTTCCGAAAATGTACTGTGCAAAGAGAAGAATTTCCCAACTGACAACTAAACGTGATTTTTGATTTATGTACGTACGTACGTGAAACAGTATACAGGCATTGTACGACTCTAAGAATACAGAAGATAAAATTTCAATAACTGGACTTAAAATATATTTACCAACGTGTCTTTTCGATACGTGCGTACGTACATAGAAATTTAAAATGTATTCTTTTAGATCAGCGGATCCATATTGCCTTAAAATATTAAGGAATACAATTACATTGTTATTTGTAATCTCTATTATTGCCTATTATATATACTTGCAAGATAAATTCTTTAATGCTAGAAAACCAAATATCATTATTGAATCCATCGAAAATATAACCTTTCCAGGTAATACTTAATAAATAACTTAAAAACCCTATTAAGAATTTTACTAACTCGATTATTGTACTAGATTTTACAATTTGGCATATTGGTGAATTGACCTACATTTAATATATTGCTTTAATATAAATTTATATGAACTAAATTTTAATACAGTATATTTATTGCTTATGGTTTAGATCCTAATATCAACAGTAATGATACGAAACTTTATTTCAATGAATCACCTAATGATTTCATTATCAATAATGAATCATTCAATAATTATATTAATTATGGATTGAGTTATGGATTATATATGTTATCTACTACTTCTAATGGTTCTCCTATTAGTATTACGAATATAAGTTGCTACCAAAAACTTCATACTGCATATTTTTATCCTTATCAAAATTTTTCTCAATTTTCTTCATGTGATGAGTATTTTTCTCTTTCACCTTTAGATAATAAAGGTTGGAAATTTAGTTGTGCTGATGAATGTAAATCCATACCTAAACTTCCACTTAACACTTTTTGTTATCGAGAACCACAAGATCAAATTGAAATTATTAATTATAGAGCAATAGGTGATCCAATTAGCATAGATCATATCACCTTAAATATAACTTCTAATGTCACGTCATCTCCAAATGCTTCCCTTCCTGATTATTTTGGAATTATTTTTAGTAAAATCATAATTAATGATAAAGTAATGAATCTCTATTTCAATATGATTCCAGTACCCCGTGGTCGTTGGGTTATCCTTGAATTTTCCATATCAATAAGAGATTATTATACACTTCGAGGACGTGGCTTATTATTTGGTCTTAAACCTGAAAATAACGTGGCATATATTGATGTTGATGTTAAAGAATTGTCTCCAATTGCTGATTCTTCTTATACACTTTTAATAATAAAACCAAAGAATCATATTGTGCGATATATTGAAGAAGATAGCCAATCTTGTAAGACCTATTATTTAAAATATTTTTTAATCTTATTTTTTGTCATTTAAATATATAACTTTCATTTTTTTAGTTATTGCAATACTTGCTAATATTGGAGGTTTATATGCTGGACTAACCGCTTTATATACTATATGTTTCGGCTCCAGAAGACTTTCTCCATGGTATTCAATTAATTATACTAATTATAATCAAAATTTATATTTATACAAATAGTATATTAATACTTATTCTTTGATATATTAAAGGGGTTATTGTCAAACATTTCCGTGCTGGTGGCCACTTCGTCGGATTTATAAACGTCATTTTGCAAGACATTACGTTACAAAAGCTGGAGTTCCATTTGTTGAAGATCCACGTAAACTACCTCCTGGTGCTTCTATTGAACATCGAGTTGCTGTGTTAGAAAATTTATTAAAAGAATATTATCTCGATACAAGTTATTTAGAATTATTAAAAGATACACGTGAAAAATATATTGCTTTTAATAAAACTTATCAAGAGCTTGAAGAAACAAATACCGATGATATTAGTGATGAGGAAAATAAAAATCAAATTATCAATAAGATCTCAAAAAGATAAATTTTATGTATTTGACTCGGTCGTGTTATAAAAAAAGTAATTTGACTACCATAATTATAATTTAATTGAGAGATGAAGCTATGATGCTTATAACATTCTATATTCTGCAATATTAAAATGATATTTTATAATGAAATATCATAAGAATCAATCATCTTTTATGTATCTTGAGATAAAATTAGCTCCTTTTGATAAATAACTACCGGTAAGCGATTATGTAAATAAGTATATTCTTTTAATAAAATAGAATTTATACGTCACTTATTTTGGAATAAAATGTTATTTGAAATCGGACGTCTAACCATTAATTCTGAAATCCTCAATGAAACTAGCTTTTCTTGGTTGTGAAATAACTATAATTGTCGAAATAATTAGTGAAATTCATTAGTGAAATTATTAAAATTCTGTATTATCGTGCTTTTCGAATTACTGTGATCATCCAATTTCATGTATCACGCCGGGAATCAGGAATCAAAAAATGCCAGTATGTGATTGGCTACAAAATCAATCAAATTATTTTAACCAATTATATACTGACATTTTTTCTAGATACCTGATTCTCGGTGTGATACATGAAATTTGCTGATCACAGTAATTTGAAAAGTACGATAAAATACGTTAAATAGTAGTTATAAAAAAAAAATTTAACAACAGGAAAGTATAAAAATTTAAGTATCTATATATAAGTTCATTTTATTCACGTCGATTTACATTTATAATAAAATACTTTTTTAATTTATAATAAATTTCCAGCAAGCTATTAATGAATTATACTTACTGGTGCATAATACCTTTTAATTAATTTCATGCACATTAAATTAACCAACACATATAACTACAATTAGTTATTATTCTATAATATTATCCGTTATTTATGGTTTATATATAAATATTATACGGTGGTCATCATAAGTTTCTAGAATTTTTGTGGCATATTATACTGCATGTAATTTAGAAATTATTGATTCGTTTTAGTTAGTTTTGAGCTTAAACATGTATAGGATTCATTTTGACAACCGAAAGTGGATTAGCAACTTTTGGAGAAATTGTAGTTACATAAATATCACTACTGCACAATGCCAATTGTCGGCAGTAAATCATAATTTAGTGATAAAAAAAAACAAATATTAAACCATACTGTAACATCAGTATTTTGAGAATGGATTATTTATTTTGATGATTTTATACTTAAACAAGGCTACTACCAACAACAATAATAAAGTTAATTTGAATATTTATTATTGCAATATTCGTTTAATAAATTTAGTAATTTTTATTATACGTATAACATCTTTAATAAAACTATTTCGCCAACAATCCAGCACTAAATTATAAGTCAGGCCAATCCTAACTTAAGTCAGTCAACCTTGTCTGCAAAACAGTTAGCGAAATTGTTACGTATATCTTTGGTGCGTATACATGAATATATATAACATTCATTGAATTATTGCAATATGAAATAATAAATAGAATACTCCGACTTTTAATTAAATTAATTATCTAAATACCAATATACAAATGAGTAATACATTTTGTAAATTATAATAAATCGAATATTACTCACCACTGGGGATTTCATAATCAATGGGTTGACTTACTAAAATAGTATATATAAATATACTGAAATTACAGTTTAAATCCAATTCAAGAAAATAAATATCATTACCTGCATTTACTGCATTTACAACATTGACAGATTCGGAAATTTTTATAGTTAATATCTATTAACTTTTAAAAAAAAAACAATAAATAAATGTTATTACCTGGTTTAGGGAGTTTTGAAAGATTCAATAATCGACTTGTATAAATAGCTTGTGGATGTGTCTGATATTTGAACAGTGTTGGTTTGACTTGATCAAAATGTTTGTCTAAACCTTTAATATTTTTAACTTGCTTATATAATTCAGTTTTTTTATTTTTCAGATCTGCAAAAAAATGTCCCAGTGTATTAGCCAATTCTTTAGCAGTTGGTCGGTTTTGAGGTTCTGCATCTAAGCATTTATTCATCAGATCCAAAAGTAATTGAGGAACTTCACATCTAATTTTAGGTCTAAGACCATAACAAATTTGAATTGCTAGTTTATCGTCATGTGGAATATCATAATATGGAGGATATCCAGTAAAAACTTCTGACATAATTATTCCGAAAGAATAAATATCTGATTTTTGAGTGTATTCCTTTCCATTTGTATACAATACCTCTGGAGCAATATAGGGAAGCACACCAAAAAGTGCTTTAGAGCTTGAGTCTTGTGATACCGGCCTACATAAGCCAAAGTCAGTAATGTAAGAACTAAACATATTTTGATTAACTATATTTCCGGAATGAAAATCTTTATGCACTAATTTGGCTTCGTGAATTGAATTAAGCCCATCAGCTATGTAATATAAGATTGCAACTTTAGAATTCCAATCTAAATCGTTATATTTATTATCTAATAATTTTCGGAGACTTCCCTGCTTTGCATATTCCATAACCATCATGTAGTTACCATCTTTTGGGTTTTTGGTTATTCCATAAATCGCAATTGCAGAATTGCCCCCATGTTTATGTTGATTTTTAATCTAAAAATTAATTAGAATAAATAAGATTACTACACCTTAATAATAATAAATTATAATGCTTACTTCTTCTAAAAACTCTTGTTTTATATCTTTAGAATTATCAAGTCCCTTTAAACAAACATCTATTTGCCTCCTTCTCTTCCATTTATTTTCAAAATTATCAAACCCTGTAATATATCCGTCAATCCATACTGCCTTAAAAACTGTGCCAAAGCCTCCTTTAGCAAGATACTTTACATTTGTGAATTTGCTAAAGGGTATCCATTCAATAATGTTTTTAGGCTTTATTGCATTGAGTTGTATTTGTTGAATTAATTGATCAATGTCGTGATTGTCACTTGTCCAATTGCAAAATTCTTTTTTAAACCTTAATCTTAACAAATAATAAATATAATAATAATTAAGAGCTACGAATATCGACATTTTTAGTTTGCTGTGAAAAATTTCGTTGTTGTCCACGAAGTGATAAACTCCAGGTCGATCATCGACCAGGAGTTCATTTCATAGTTATATTTGATAATAACTAAGAATTTTATTGTACTTACTTGCTATATTGTACAAGTGATTTAGATAGAGTTATATTAGTTTTATATTGGAATGAACGTGATGTCTATAGTTGCTGTAAAAAATTCTGTTTTACTGTACTTACTCGCTACAGTGATTTA